CTCTGTACAGCAGGTAGGAATGGGCGGGACTTTGTAAGACAGGTGGGAGTGGGCGGGAATCTGTACAACAGGTGGGAGTGGGTGGGAAACAAGAATGGGTGGGATGCTGTCTAAAAAATGAGACTGGGTGAGACTCAATGGGTGGGACTCTGTATGGCAGGTGGGAATGGGCTGGACTCTGTACAACAAATGAGAATGGGCGGGAATCTGTACAACAAATGGGAATGGGTGGAACTCTGTACGGCAGGTGGGAATGGGCGGGATTCTGTATGGCAGGTGGGAATGGGCAGCAGTCTGTATGACAGTTGTGACTGAGCAGGAAGCTATCTAAAAGATCAGAGTAGGAGTCTAAGACAGATAAGACTGGGTGGGATGCTGTCTGAAAAAGGAGAATGGGTGAGACTCTATGACAGGTGGGAATGGGCGGGACTCTTTACGGCAGGTGGGAAAGGGCGGGACTCTGTACGACAGATGGGAATGGGCGGGAATCTGTACGGCAGGTGGGAAAGGGCGGGACTCTGTACACAGATGGGAATGGGCAAGACTGTACAACAGATGGGAATGGGCGGAACTTTTTTACGGCAGGTGGGAATGGGCGGTACACTGTACAGCAGGTGGGAATGGGAATGAGACTGGGTGGAAAGCTGACTAAAAGATCAGAGTGGGAGTCTAAGACAGACAAGACTGGGTGTAATGCTATCTGAAAAATGAGAGTGGGTGAGACTCTACGACAAGTGGGATTGGGTGGGACTCTGTACGATGGGTTAGACTGGGCAGAGAACTACCTGAAAGGTGAGAGTGGGCCGAACTGAAAGGCAGGTGAGACTGGGCGGGACACTCTCTGACAGGTAAGATTGAGCAGGCCTCTGTACAACAAGTGGGAGTGGGCAGGACTGTTGGAAAAAATTAGGTGCGTTCGACTTAACGTGGTGCTGCGCAGATCGATCAAATTCTGACTTGAAACAGTGCATGCGGTTAGAAATTTAGTCCGACTTGAGACCGCGCAGACGCCACGTGACTGTCACGTGTGGCATCAAAGTACCGCGATAGCGATTCGAGAGCAGCTGCCTGACTCAGCCGCAGCAGTTTCCACAGAGCGACTGCAGGAGCACTGATGACGACACCGCTGTTTCACGATTGGCCAGATTCACCGCATGACAACAATACCTGTGTTTCGGGTTTATTCTAACCTTTTCAATTCCAATAATGGCCACAAATCTGTGTTTTTAGAACAGTAAAAGCTTTTTTAATGTAGTCGCAATGTTATATTGGGTCACGTTTATAATAAAACACTGATAAAAGCATATTTACCCCCACTTTATTAGTATTTAAATAGTATATGATTATGTTGAACTTTATTCTTGAACAGATGGTGCTGTGTTAAGCAGTATATAAAAAGTGTTTCTGTTGCTCATGAAAATGTTTCTGAAACATCTGTGTATATGACAAATATTGCATTTAATTCACTTCATCTGTGACAGAGTATGCAAACACCGCGCGAGCGTCACTACCGGGTGCAGAAAGTGTCCAACTTGACGGCTCCATTTTCAACTCCACCACCGACTGCAAGCGGCTACTCTCGTTGACTGCCGTCTGTAGCCGTGGTTCAAGTCGAACGCACCTTTTCTGTACGACAAGTTTGAGTAGGTGGGGCACTGTCTGACAGGTAAGAATGGGCAGGGCTCTGAACAGCAGGTGGGAGTGGGCGGGATGCTGTCTGACAGGTAAGAAGGGGCAGGACTCTGTTCGACAGGTGGGAGTAGATTTTATGTTGTTTGACAGGTAAGAACGGGCAGGACTCTGTACTGAAGGTTGGAGTGGGCGGGACACTGTATGAAAGGTAAGAGTGGGCGGGACTCTGTACGACCGATGGGAGTGGGTGGGACTAAATGGGGGCTTGGCAATACAAGATGCAAAGGATACATAAACTTGCTATCAAATCTGACATGTTTTAACTCATCTAAAAGGTTTAATCCACTTAGCAAAATAAATTGTAGCCATAAATGATAATTTTGGTCCACGTTTACCAAAAGTGATGTGTGTTCTGTCTTACTAATACTTCCTTGTGTATGTGTGTGTAAAGGTGAGAATCCAGGGTCTCACTGGGAATATCCAGTTTGATCATTATGGACGCAGAGTCAACTACACCATGGACGTCTTTGAGCTAAAGAGTAATGGCCCCCGCAAGGTCAGACACACAACACACTTTCATGCATTCAGACACACACAAGCATCCATTTATACAGATACACACCGTAATTTTACCCATCGTCTATCATCTGCAGATCGGTTACTGGAATGACCTGGATAAATTGGTTCTGGTCCAGAATGAGCTCTCCATGGGAAATGACTCCGCTATGGAGAACAGAACGGTTATCGTCACGACTATAATGGTAATGTACACGCAACCACCCACATCTGCAGACTTACACATGTAGCAACATCTAGAGTGAGCAGGGCACATTACATCAGTTAGACATACTTGAATAAAACTCACTTGCATTGCTCTGGACTGTATTGGTGAGAAAAACGAGGAAAGAAAGCGAGCCAGTGAAAGAGAGAGAGAGCTGACTGTGCATTATTTCATTTATTATGTTAATGTCATCAGTTTAGCCATAGATAAAGGAACAGGAGGGTTGTACTGAAGAAAAAAAAGTTTACATATGCATTTGAGATTGATGTTAAAATTTCCCTTAAAAAATGCACCACAGTAACCATCGTTTCCAACAAATCACCATAGTTATAGCAGTCATTGTTAAGGCGCTGTCCCACTAGCTGACTCAATTTGATTTTGGTCAAGGGTGTCAAAACTACTGACTGTTTTTGCAGAAAAGTCGGAGGTCTGTCACACTCAGCGATTAATAATGGATGAGATGACAGACTGAAAGACTGACTGTGACATTTCCATCCCATTCTGTCACAAACTGCTGAAATAAGAACAGGAGCACCATGCAAGCAATTAAAATAGGCTCAATTTGATTATACGAATGTACAGATTCGCTGTATGACTTTGCATTCGCTGTCAGTTCTTTAGCCTGAGAACATTTACTTTTATATTAATGCATTTGGTAGGTGCTTCAATCCAATGTCAATTACACTGCATTCATGCATTCCTTGGGAATGCAACCCATGACCTTGGCATCATGTTCGGCTATTTAAGCTACATGAATGCCATATTGCGCACAGAAGAAGCTCAATGGTCACTGCTCAAAGGCCATGAGAGCCGCCCACTTACTGCCTCAGGCTATTTCAAACTTGCTAAAAGTTGCATTTAAGTCAGGGGCATTAACAAAAGAGTTGAGTCACTATCTGACCTCTGATTCTACAACAGCTCACGGCCGAAAATCGATTTTGTGTGACATCAGCATTAAAGCCCTAAAAACTCAGAACATTTTAGCAATTAAAATTAGACAAGCTCAAAGGGTTCATATTTTAGAAAACATGCATCTGAAATTCTAATTTATCAGTCACTGTTTTGAATGTTTTATTTAAAACATTTTTAATTTCTAAAATATCAACAATAATTCTTAAAAGAATATTATGGAAAAGGTTCTGAGAATAAAAAAATGAAAAAGGTCATTTTGACTTTTTATCTCACATTATTAGCATTTTCTCGCAATTCTGTGGTTATATCTCACTATTCTACATTTAAATCGCACAATTCTGCATTTATATCTCACAATTCTGGGTTTATATCGCGCAATTCTGCATTTACTGTATATTTCAGAATTATGCATTTATTTCTCACAATTCTGCATTTATATCTCGCAATTCTGCATTTATAAATCATAATTATGCATTTACTGCATATTTTAGAATTTAGCATTTATATCTCGCAATTCTGCATTTATATATCATAATTATGCATTTACTGCATATTTTAGAATTTAGCATTTATATCTCGCAATTCTGCATTTATATCTCGCAATACTGCATTTACTGTATATCTTGCAATTCTGCATTTATATATCGCAGTTCTGCATTTATATCTCACAATTATGCATTTACTGTATATTTCAGAATTCTGCTTTTATATCTCACAATTCTGCGTTTATATCTCGCAATTCTGCATTACTGTATATCTCACAATTCTGCGTTTATATCTCGCAATTCTGCATTTATATCTCGCAACTCTGCATCTACTGTATATCTTGCAATTCTACATTTATATCTCGCAATTCTGCATTTACTGTATATTTCGGAATTATGCATTTATATCTCACAATTCCGCATTTATATCTTGCAATTTTGCTTTATATCTCGCAATTCTGCATTTATGCCTCACAATTATGCATTTACTGCATATTTCAGAATTTTGCATTTATATCTCGCAATTCTGCGTTTATATCTCGCAATACTGCATTTACTGTATATCTCTCAATTCTGCGTTTATGTCTCGCAATTATGCATTTACTGTATATTTCAGAATTACGCTTTTATATCGCAATTCTGCATTTATATCTCACTATTCTGCATTTACTGTATATCTCGAAATTCTATGTTCATATCTCGCAATTCTGTTTTCTGTATATCTTGCAGTTCTGCATTTATATCTCGCAATTCTGTGTTTATTTCTCACAATTCTGTGTTTACTGTATATTTTGCAATTCTGAGTTTATAGTTTGTAATTCTGCATTTATATCTCACAGTTTTGTGTTTACGGTATATCTTGCAATTGTGCGTTTATATCTCGCAATTCTGCATTTATATCTAGCAATTCTGTTTTCTGTATATCTTGCAATTCTACATTTATATCTCGCAATTCTACATTTATCTCTCGCAATTCTGCATTTGTATTGTCTAATTCTGCGTTTATATCTCACAATTCTACATTTATACCTCACAATTCTATGTTTACTGTATATCTTGCAGTTCTGCATTTACATCTCACAATTCTGAATTTATATCTCTGTCTTTCACTTTGCGAGATTTATCCTGTGGCGGAAAGAAGCTTACATAGAACATAATAAGATTTCGAATTAATGTTTTAATTTCCAGTTTGAGCTGAATGTTATCTATGAGAAGTGTTATAAAATAGCACTGTTTTATTATTACATAAATATACACAGCCTGTCCTTCAAACAATATTTGAAGTTTTTTAATTGCTTTCCATTTTTTTAACTGCTGCCCCAGTTTTACTGTAGTAACAATGGTATTTTGGTGGAAACTATGGTCAGTGTGGTCAATTCTGTAAGGGTTTAAACAGGGAAAAAGAGCGATAGAAGATTATACCTTAGCAGGCTCCTCCTCTCTCTCTCCTTCTCTGTCTCTCTTTTCTTTTCTGCCGTGCGCTTTTTAAGGCGATGGAGAATTTTACCTCTGCAGGCTCGTCATCGTTTCCATCACTGCTAAAGAATCCGCTGTTCAGACACTGAGCAGAGAGAAGAGGACGAGACAACCGTGAGACACCAGAGAGAGTAATGATTCAGCTGTTTTCAGACCCTCTTCAGCTGGGACTGCAGCGTTAAACATTCACTAACATTCAGCCCACGTACTCAAGGTGCAATGCCAAGGGTGTAAAAAGCAGCTTCGTGGGTATTTCGATTTGTCTTCTTGTGATTGCTTGCCCTTGCTTTATGAATTACATAGTTGGCATTTAAAGGCATCATGAAATCGAAACAGACCTGACTATTGTAACAAATGTGCCTGCTCTCATTGTGCACGATACTTAAGTGCATGTTAATCTAAAAAATGCATTTTTATGATCTTTAAATGTAATAACTTTCTCTGCCTACACAACCACTTTTTTGCTAATATAAACAAGGTCACATGGGCATTTATACACACCGATAATATCAATGATCCAATAAAATCCTGATTATATATATTCAAGCCCAACCATTCATTATTTCCCACATAATATATAATATTCAGTTTTACTCAGAAATATTAAATATTACAAATGATTTCATTATTCATCAAGATTTGATGAAAGTATATATATATATAACTTTCATCAAATCTATATTATATATATATATATATATATAT